AGTGACATAGCCGTTACGCTAACTGCTGGCTCCCCAGCAGTGGTTTTCTTTTCCCTTGGTATATTCCCATATTTTCTTTTCCCTTGGTATATTCCCATATTTTCTTTTCCCTTGGTATATTCCCATATTTTCTTTTCCCTTGGTATATTCCCATATTTTCTTTTCCCTTGGTATATTCCCATATTTTCAGAGTCCCAGTTTTCTTGGATACAGCCTGGTACTTAGAATTTCTAAAAGCCAAATCTTCATTGAAAGCTTATTTGGTCAAAAAGTTTGCACTTATATTACCTATATTTTATTAAAGCTTTTATTTTTCTTTTCTCTAATCTACTTTTCTCTGTCAGTAAGAAAGGCAAATGGTTTTGAAAAGACCACAGGACAAGAAAATAAAGTTGTGAAGGAACAGAAACGGAAGACAGATCTTTGCCTGATTTCCTTCCACACTGGCTTTCTTTCAGATTCACTAGTGCTAGTTGTCCTGGCTTCTTTCCTGTGTCTGTACTTTGGATATTCAACGCACTGATGAGCTTGCATTGTCCCCTTTGTTAACTCAGAAGACTGCAAAGAATGAAAAGGTTACATATTCAGCTGGTCAAATCCGAAACAGTTTTCCAGATTAAAAGAAATATATATTTTTTGTTAAATAGCTTGGACTAAAATGAAAGAAATTGGAAAGCATAAACTGATTCTGATATATTTAAAATGGAGAAAACACTGAAAAATTTACAATATGCATACCACATATGTAATTTTAATATCACATTTTTTTTCAAAACATGATTGGTGATGGAATAAGCCTCCATATGATAAGCTTTCTTCTCAACTGTGGCTCTGGTGGGTTATCATCTAGCATCTGAGGGAGTTTTATCAATGTTGCTAAAATGCTCAGGGAGACACAGCAGTGACAAAAAAAATAATAAAAAAGAGAGAGAGAAAAGCAGCGCATGAGAGCACAAGAGTGTGTGTCAGATGCTTGTATTAAGTACTAGGGAAGAGAGAATTTAGAATATATATCCCAAATACAGTCCACCTAGGTAGTATAAAACCAGATTGTTGAAAATAGTATATAATTCTAAACAAAAGAGTCAAGCAAATATTTGGCTTTTTAATAAGAATAGTGGATAAGTACAAATAAATGCATTTGGTAGTCTGATGGCTTTTTCATTTCTGGACACCAGAGTGTGCTAGCCGTCACATGTAAATATGGGTAAAATTTATTTTCTGGTTGATTAGGACTGTGCGTGTCTTTTAGTGGATGTGGGTAACAGATGTCTTGTGGGTAACAGATGTCTTGGCTTTTACAGACTAATTGGCAAAGAGGAGGGAAAGGGGGATAATTAAAAGGGTGGGAAGAGACACAAGAAAAGTACAATCTTTCTTGTTGGGAAAAATCTAATAGACCTCCTTATTATACGTAATTGCCTCCTCTTCAACCATACTTGCTATCTCTTTCCATAGGACGCAAGTGCAGTGTGATGGGAAGGTATAAAATGATGAAACACACGGCAAGACTACTGTCTGCTCACAGCCGGATTTATTCTGTCATGGAATATTCTAGTGTAATTGAATCAGTTAGTATCAGTTTTTTTTTTTTTAATAATGAAAGCATAAGTCTAATCACTAATGGCAACTTATATTTTAATTGTCAGCCCAAGAGTTCTAGGTTAAGGATAATTGATACCAGTATAGTTTAACGATACACCAAATGTGGACTGGTGGCAATGAAAAATGAGAGACGGAGTATGTCCTATGTTACTTATACGCTTCAGGATCCATTTAGTTGGCTGTTTGCTCTTTCTCAATGCTATAGTACTGCCCATTGAGGTGGAATAAATGGGAACATTGAACAGATGTTTGAAGCCATTATCATTAACAAATCCTCCATTTTGTTCCATTGTGCAAGATTTAAAGTAAGGTGTCATTTTCTCTGTCTTAACTGTAAGACCTAGGTCCATGTTATTCTTCTGGTTGGTACCATTTACCTTAAACTGAAGTAATTTTTTATAGCTTTTTAAACATTTAGCGAGTATCTACTTTATTCCTTGATAAGAACTATTATGTAATTATTTTTATAAGGAGCTAGTAATGCTTAATGCTTTAAAGAGATCATATCAAATTAGGTGCTTAACAGCATGCTTAGTACAAAATTTAGATAAGCTGAAAGGTGAGATTATTTATTCTAGATAAAAGGCACATGGTACTGATTTATATTTGACCACCTGTTTCATCAGAAAATAGGTAGAATTTATTTGAAGAAAATAAAAGGTGTTATAAACGTTTTGAGGAAAATGCACATGAAAATGTCAGTTGTCAATTGATTCCTTTTTCTTACCTGAATTAGAATTATTTTTTATTCACAGTTTGAGCAGTTGGTGGGATGGGAGAATGGTTTATTAGCTATTTTATTTATTTATTTGTTTGTTTGTTTATTTATTTATTTATTTATACAGGGTAGAAATAACATTGCTTAGATAATCTTGAGAATGAAACACTAAGTTCATCACTTAAACTATTTGAGCCTCATTTCGTTATTCATAAAATGGAGTGACCGCGCCAGCATTTGAAATGAGAATTACATGTGACAATGAATGCACGTGAGACTGACGCTTAGCTCTCGTGCCCTTTATGGTTGTCTTCCCTCCGTGGACCTGCTTTTCTTTGTTGCTTTGGTACCCTGGCTAAACTTCTCTTGTAAACAGAAAATTCAAGGAGATTGTGATGAGCCTAGTAATGAACGTTTTGATATTATGTGTCAGGAGAATTACTCTTCTCATCCTCAGCTTCTTCCTCAGATGTAGATGAAGAATAGCCAAGTTTATTAATTGGTAAATGAATTTTGTGTATTTTGTAACGGGAGACTTTCATGAGTTGTAAATCCTTAGAATCATGACGTGTTGGTAGTATCTGAGACTTCAAGATTTCTGGATCCACTGCTCCTACTCTGCTCATTTCCCATTTTCAGATGAAGGCACTAAGGCTCTGCAAGATTACACATTGTCTCAAAAATAAATCAGCAAGTAATGGAGCTAGGGCTGGAACCTTCGTCTTTTCCCGAATCCTCAGGACCATCGTCTGCTGTCTAACTGTCAAATCACTAGGCTTTATACATTTCGTTCTGTAGAATCCCAATTGATCTAGAACATATGGTTTTAGTGTAGCACATAAGTATTGTCTAAAGATTGTATTTATGTTGATAACTATGATAATAAATAAGGGAGTGAGTTATTATGCTTCATTCAATGTTAATAACAAGATATTATTTTATTTTTGGATTGTATTTCCCTTAAGACATATTAATAAAATTGTTTAAAGGAATGGTATTTTACCAGTTAGGGAAAAATCATCAAAAGAGAAGAATAAATTATGGTTAACATGTGATTTTTTTTCTTTCTCATATATTCATTTACTTAGGATATTACCCTTGTTTGGTCTTCTATTGGTATTTGAAGTTGAGTGAGAGTTGCCATTTATCATCAAATATTTTACAGGTGTACAATAAATCAAGTGATAAGCAATTTAAAGATTTTAGTTTTAGTAATACTTATGATATGGTGAAACTTCAGACATTTACATTATCGTGGGGCTGTAGATATGGCTTCACAAAAATGCCATTACAACAGTAATGCAAAAAGCTTATTTAGTATTGTGGTATTTAGAAACAGCATCTTTAAATACAATTTGAATAGATCATTTAAAACCTCTGGACTCTTCATGCTGGTGAATATTTTATGTCAAAACATAGAAATACTGTATCACATTGAACATTTGACTAGTGTGTGGCATTTGTGTGTTTTTGAGTGTGTTTGTGTGTGTGTGTTTGTAGTAAGTGGGGAATGGTAAGGAGACATGTGGAAGTAAACAGATTACTTTAGCTAAGTCTAATTATTGAAAGCTTTACTGGTGTAGACACGTTAAATTCTATTATTGATGTGCTTTGCTTTTGGCAATAGATGGGTACATTAGAGGAAATTGCCTGAAGGTCATGGTCTATGTTCAAATGGCTCTCAATCTAAGGGGTGCTCTTTTACTGAAGAGTGGGAAGTACAGAGGCTCATCCATGCCTTGTAGGTGCTATAGCAGCAATAGAATCTTAACTCATTCTTTAGAGCCATACCTATGGTTAATTTTTTATTTAGCACATTCACTTAAAAATTTAAAAGAAAAAGGATAATGAAAAGACATATTGGATTATTTGGTTATGCAGCTGCTGCAACCACACTTTAATGTTCTATGTGAGATGCTGGACAGCTCCTCTTAGTTGCTGTGATACTGTTTCCTAGCATTTCATACATGCTATTGATTTGAGAATGAACAAACTGAGCTTGTGAAGGAGGAATTTGGAACATGGATGAGGAATGTTTTTGAAAATATAGTAACAATGGAATAAATTCACAAAAATACTAGCAATAGTGTAGCCTATTTAAACACGAGATGGACAATAAGTAACATGATTAGCATGTGTTTATCAAGTGCTGTTTATTTAACTCTTCTTCAATTTTCATTAAGATTGAGTTTCTATTCTCAAGTATTATGAAGTGCATCTGCATAGTATCTTTGGCGTTTTAAAGCTTTTGCCTTCCTCTTTCCAGGGTTGAAATGTGTATGTCTCCTGTGTGACTCTTCAAACTTTACCTGCCAAACAGAAGGAGCATGTTGGGCATCAGTCATGCTCACCAATGGAAAAGAACAGGTGATCAAATCCTGTGTTTCCCTCCCAGAATTAAATGCTCAAGTCTTCTGTCACAGTTCCAACAATGTTACCAAAACCGAATGCTGCTTCACAGATTTTTGCAACAATATAACACTGCACCTTCCAACAGGTAAGGGGTTTATAGCTGTTCATGTCAAATTTAATTTTACTCTTGGGAAACTATAAGCATGGTAGAATTCAAACTGTCTTTCGTTTCTTTAAATATAAAGACATGTTTTATAGTCCTCTTTTTGTTTTTGACTGGTGAAATTCTCTAGAGTATTGCTGAGGCTGATTTAAAAAAAATTGCACATCACTGTCAAAACATTGACAATAGCATAACAATTTTGAAGAACTTCATCCTCGTGAATTGTATTTTTGAAATGATTAATGAACCTAAAGCAAAATATACATTTTCACGGATTTTTAACAAAAGGAAATAAAGATGTGCATCCAAAAACAAAAAAAGAAAAGAAAAAGGGAAAACTAAAAAGAGTAGATTATTAACTTTAATAGGCACTAAATCTTTTTTCCATGGGTACCCTCTGCATATCTTTTTCATCCATGGATATTCATCAGCAGAGAGATCAAGGCAGTTTGGAATTTGACCTTTCATTATTTGGCACGTGTATTCCTGCCTTTAGCCCAGTTTCACCATGCTTTATCCCAATTTAGAAAATAGTGAGCGTCCTAATCTGGTCTTCTGTTAGCAATCGGAAATCTGAAACTTGGACAGACATTAAGGAACATGTAATTCTGAATTAAAAATTAATTACCGTGGGACCAGCAGTTAGCATAATGGCTATGTCGCTGGACTCCCATGTAGTCAACCGCGGTTCGAGTCCTGGACCCGGTGGCTTAAAACTCACGCCGGGCACGTGTGTTTGCGTGCCCAAGACCCAGAGAGGAGAATGGAGGAGAAGGGATTGCGTTGTGGCCATCTCCCCTGGGGGGTGATTTCTTGCTTGCTGTCTCTCTGTCTCTCTCTGTCTGTCTGGCGAGCGCACATGCCCTATAGCAAAAAAAAAAAAAAAATTAATTACTGTAATATGAAAATGGTCCTGTTAGTGAATTTTCTTAAACATTTAATAATGCAATAATAATTAATTGTTTATTAATATATTACTTTCTATATGTACAGATGCATACTATTACTTATACCTAAACATTTTAAGGCCCTGTTATCCAATCTCAAATGTTCATATATTACCATATAAATACAAAATCATAGTATTTTTACATATTTTAAAATAAAAACAAAAATTATTTTGTGCTGAAGTTTAATATCACTATCACAAATTGAAAGTCAGTTTATTTGCCATAAATAGAAGATAACTAGATAAACAAGCCAGAAAATAATGCTTCTGAATTTTAGTCAGGTACTTTGTGTTTTCTCTTTGTTTAAAAGAGAAAAGAAAGAAGTATTAAAGATTTACTAATAAAACATAATTTTTTTTGCTATAAAATCAGAAAAAATCCCTAAGAAATAGAGAAGAAATAAGTCAATGTTATTTAATATCATATTTGTTTACCACCCCAATTAATCCAAAAATGCCTTTAAATCATTTTTATGTACCATCACAAAGGTATTATCTTATGTGTTGCAACTTCAAAAGTTATCCTTGGGACCAGCAGTTATCGTAATGGCGATGTTGCTGGGCTCCCATGTTGTCAACTGCAGTTTGCGTCCCAGACCTGGTGGCTTAAAAAACTCACGCTGGGCGCTTGTGCGTGCGTGCCCAAGATCCTGAGAAGAGAAGGGAGGGGAAGGGGGATTGCGGCATGGCCATCCCCCGGGAGGTGATTTCTCACCTTTTGTCTCTCTGTCTCTCTCTCTCTCTCTGGTGAGCGTACGCACCCTACAGCAAAAACCTCTTAAAAAAATGTAAAAAATAAAAAGTTATCCTTGATATATTGTATCCCCTACAACTACTTACAGTCTTAGCTCTTTTTCTTTCTTTCTTTTTTTCTTTTTCTTCTTTCTTTTTAGGTTTTTACCATAGGGCTCATGTGCTCGCTGGAGAGAGACAGAGCAAGGGAAAATGAGAAATCATTCCCTAGGAGTATGGCCACACTACAATCCCTTCTCCTCCATTCTCCTCTCTGGATGTTTAAGCATGCACGCCCTTCCTCCTAGTGTGATTTTTCAAGCCACCAGGTCTGAGACTTGAACCATATCTGGCCATATGGGAGTCCTGTGACTTAATCACTATGCCACTTTCTAGACCCTTCAGTCTTAGTTCTGAGACTACAGGTATTGTCTCTATCTCAGATTTCATAGACTTTCTGGGATCTACTATGGACACATTTTCTTCCTCAGTTTTATCTGTGGACCAGCCATGTATTACAGTGAAGCCTCCTTATATTTGATGTAGTTTTAATCCATGACCAAATACATAAGATTAAGTGGCTATGGAGTGTTTTTTTCTTCATTAACTGTGGCAGAAGCCTGTTTATCATGTCTTCTCAGTAGCGAATTATCAACAAGACCACGTTCTGCTAGCCAGTGTGTGTACATGACAGTAGTTTGACTGTAACAAAAGATCTTGGAGGACAAGATGCATTATATACAGTTGGGCAAATTAAAGGTACTTAATACAGCTAGAATTTGGATCCTTTCCAGCCTAACTATAAACTTTGCGTAAGTACTGAGAAGCATGTATTCTGCTCCCAAGTTCAGCTGGGAACTAGTCTTTTTCTTTCTTTTTTTCTCTTTCGTCCATCCTCCTTCCCTCCCTCCCTTCCTTCTTTCCTTCCTTCTTTCTTTTCTTCCTCTCTCTCTCTTTTTCTTTCCTTCTTTATACATCAATTTTATTGAGGTGTAATTTAGATGTAATAAAGCATACACATTTCAGTTACACAGTTTGATGAGTTTTGACACACATATTTCCAAGTAGCCATCACTGTTTCTATTACTTCAAATGTTCTCAATTCTCAGTTTCACCAGAGCTAGACAACTGATCTATTTTTTTTGTTATTTTTTTATATTACATTTAATCACGTATATCTTTACAGTGTATAACATTTCTTTTTCCAGCACAATTACCATGCATATCAGTCAAGACAAAGACATTATTATCCACATCAGCAGCAGCAAATAGCTTTTCATTTTTTTCAGATTATTCTTTTTAAAATTCTCATTATTATTATTAATTAATCAATTAATTAATTTTGGAGAGGTTTTTGCTATAGGGTGCTTGGGCTCACCAGAAAGACAGAGACAGAGAGACAGAAAACAATAAATCACCCCCCAGGGGGGATGGCCACGCCACAATTCCTTCTCCACCTTTCTCCTCTTGGGATCTTGGGCACGCACGCACATGCCCCCAGCATGAGTTTAAGCCACCAGGTCTGGGACTCGAACCACGATCGACTACATGGAAGTCAAATGACATAGCCATTATGCTAACTGCTGATCCCTCATTATTATTATTTTTAAACATTCAATCACAATACATCATTTGACTTGTAAAGTGAATCAACCCAACATGAAATTCTTCTCAGATGAGTTTGACAACTAATCTAGTTTCTGTACACTGATTTATTTTTCCTAAAGTTTCATATACAAGGAGTCATTATGGATTATATTTGGTGGGAAGTTTGCCTCCCATCACTCAGAATAATGTTTTGAATGTATCAATAGTTTATTCCTTTTTATTACTGAGTAATATACCATTGCATGGCTACGCTACAATTTTTTTAAGTAATTCTTCCATTGATGAGTTTCCAGATTGTTTCCATTTGGAGGATATTGTTAATAAAGCTGCTACAGATGCTCTTGTACAAGTCCCTGGATACCTGTTTGCATTTCTCTTGAAAAATATCAAAGCATGAAATTGTAAGGTCATATGTTTACCTTTAAATATAATGTTCAAATAGTTTTCATAGTCCTTGTAGCATTTTAAATCCTAACAGAAGTATATGATAATTTCAGATAGTCCATATCCTTGCCAACACTTGGCATAATCAGCTCTTTAATTTTAGCCATTCAAGTGGTTGTAATACTGGAATGTTATTTTGCCTTTAATTTGTGTTTGATGACTAATGATGGCAAATTATTTTTCATGTGGATATTGATCACTTTTGTATGTTATTTATAAAGTGTCTGTTCAAATGTCTATTAAAATTGGATTATTTATCTTTTTATGATTGAATTGTAAGAGTTCTTTACTCAGAATACAAGTCCTTTATCAGATATATGTATCATACCTATTTTTCCTATTCTATAGATTGCCATTTTGTTCCCTTGAAGGTGTGTTTTTGCAGAGCAGGAGATTAAAACCTTGATGATGTCTGATTTACATCTTTATAGTTTGCCTGATTCATGTCCGATGAAGTCGTTACCTAGAGCTCATCTATAATTTAAAAAAACCTTTTCTTCTAGAAGTTATAACATTATAATTTTCATATTTAAGACTGTGTTCAGTTCCAACTAAATTTGAATTATCATGTGAGATTAAGGAGTGTTTTATTTTTTCCATATGGATGTGAAGTTGTTCCAGCATCATTTGTTAAAAAGTCTATTCTTTCTCTGTTGAGTCATCATGACATATTGGTTGAAATAAAGTGAGTGTGTGTGTGTGTATATATAATATATGTAGCCTTTTTATCCTGTCCATTTGTTCTATATGTCTTATGCCACTATCCTACCATCTTGATTATTATAGCTTTACAGTAAGTATTGAAATCATGTTGTGCAACCCTACCAACTTTGTTCTTTTTCAAAATTGGTTTGCCTATTATAAGTCCTTTGTATTTTCATTTAAAGTTTAGAATCAGCTTGACAATTTCTAGGAAAACACATGCTGAGATTTTGATTATATGAAGTTGAATATATAGATTAATTTGGAGAGCATAGTCATATTAACAATGTTCAATCTTTTGGTTCATGAATACAGTAGGTTTTTTCACTTACTTTTTCACTTACTTTTAGTAAAGGTAGGAAGAAAAGGAGTTGCTGTTCTCCTACTTTTTGTAAGTCTCTGATTAGATCTTATGTGAAGGGACTTTGAAAAATTAGTGGAAAACATGGAATTAAAGTACACGTTTATTTTGGTGAAAAAATATATTTGAATTTTTTGAATCATTTCTTAGTATGCATTTTCATGAACTTTTAAAAGGTGTATTTAT